TAAGTTTATAAAATGGAGATTATAATATAATAAATATATAGTCTTCATTATTGTAGGATATTCGATGAATAATATTCATCATTAATATCATATGAGAAAGATTATTTTTTTTTAAAGATAAATAAAGTATTCCATTTTACCCGACCTGTCCCATATTAACCGTATCATCCTTCCAAAATTGCGATGACATAACGCCAATCGTAAATATTCAATCGGTTGTGTGTATCGTCGGCCGCATGTAGAAAGTGAAATCAACGAGATGCGCTGTTACGGGTCAATGCTCGAGCGCGCTCGCGGGTGCGACGATTCCGCAGTCGCGCACACGTAGGAGGTTACAGGTTACGACGACGGAAAGCTGCCACGTAATAACGCGCACCTGTACAATGCGGCGTGATTTTATCGAAAAGCGAAGATTCGCAAGTAGCATTGTACGCGTCACCGTCGCGACACGATCGTACAAATCCGACCCGCGAAGTCGCTCAAGTGCCCGTCTACGAGCGTGGCTTCCACCAGCTCGCTGTTACGAAACCTCGGGAATTAGATGAAGCGACGTTACATCGCAGTTTGAAGGCCGGAGGTACGACACGTGCTTCTCGAGAATAATTCGGATTCTTCCGAAGCTCCTCGAAGTTCACGGAAAAAGGGAATTAATTGTCCATATTATATTATATTATATTATATTATATTATACACTGAAATTTAATTACCAGACCTATCTTTCAGCTGTGGAAATTAATAACGAGATGGAGAGACAAGAAGAATTAGCTGAATTAATTAAATCCCAATTATATTACACGAACAGCTAATTTTAACCTGTGCATTGCAAGAAAGATTTACAAATTTACTTGTGAAATGTAAAGTTTATTTCACGGAAAAAAGGAAAAACGTTTATTTAAATTTTATTCCCAGCAAATAAGCCAATTAATGAGGAAACTCAGGTATATTTCATAAAAACATTTCGTCATCGCACAGTCAAACTTTTCTCTAATAAGCGATCGCAAGTGGAACCATGTGAAACAAAACAATTTCGTGGAAACTGCTTAACCAAATCTTGATAATTGTTACCAAATCCTTTCTCCAGTGCGCATGGAATTTTCACTGAAGCGACAATCGAGGGAAAACATCCCGGCTCGGATCCCCGGATCGGTTGATAGACGACGACGACAACGGCTAAGGCGAATGTCTTAACTTCGCTGATGCGAGGACTCTTTAGGTGTCCATGGCAACCGTCGCGCATTCAAAGACGCCAGCAGCACCATATTACAATATTTACGCGGAGGCTGACTACGCTGAAAAGTCCTTTATGCATAGCTAAGATCTTGTTTACAGATGAATACACGTCCAAGGAACACAAGACGCGCGGTTAATGCAACGTTGAAACTTGTGGAGAGGGGGATGGACGACAAAAGGA